GGAAAGAGAGAAACAAGCCTTGCAGGAGGAAGCAAAAGCAGAACCAATGGCAGAGCGCGTGGGCACCGTTGTGTGGAAGAAGATCAGAAAGGAGGCCGGGGACAGCCATCCCTCACCTTCCCAAGTTCTCCGTCTCGGGGCTGACCAGGTACATCAGGTTCCTGAGCGTGTGCAGCGGGTGCAGCAGGTCCAGATTGACATGCTACGACAGCAAGAGGAAGAACAAAGAGTATCTATCAGGCAAGACTAGAGATATGAAGGCCCGGAAAAAAAAACGGAAAAATTTGGGGGGGAAACCAGTTTCCCCCTTTTTTCCCTGAAGCCTTTTTTGTTTTTTTCCAAAAAATTGGAAAAATTGAAAAAAGAAAAGAAAAGAAAATGATTATGGAACATTTTATTTTAACATGATGGATAAAATATTTTAAGACAAGGTGTTCAAATATTTTCCAAATCATTTCTAAAATATATATATATATGGTATCAGATTGATCTAATTTCTGTGCACTGAGGACAAGCAAGTCCTAGGTTACAAACTGAACTCTCCAATCCAAGAACAAGATGCATTTCTTCCTTTAGGAGGCGCGATTGACAGGAGAAAATAAAAAGGTTTCAGTTTTGCTTTTGCATGTGGGCAGGTATTCTGTTTGTAATAATTGTTTGGATACACTATATTTTTAATAGGCTAGTTGTGATCATTTCATGCCAAGTAAAAATGTCCATAGCCATATTTTATGTTCCTAAAGTAACAGAATGACTTTCAATCTAGAAAAGACAAAAGAAATGCTAATGTAGCATTTTTTCCCAATTTTTCCAAAAATTTCCATTTCCCCCCGAAAAAAAATGGGAAAAAAAAAACGGGTTTTTTTCCCGAGCTTCAAAATTTCCGGAAATTTTACATCTCTAGGCAAGACTCCCACGTGCACAGGTTCGAAGCCCTTCGGGGGGGGGAAAAGGGGGGGGACCCAGAGCAATGGACGGACGGCCTACCTGGGAAAAGCAAAGGTAAAGGATGTTAGCGTTCAGCTTCTTCACCGCCCACGTGAACTTCCGCCTGCTGAGATTCTCCCCACAGAACTCGCTGCAAGACAGATCGAGAGACGTGGGCTGAGAGGGAGGAGGGACTGGAACTCGGGGCCAGGGGGGTTCTCTGTTTCACAAAAACCCACCTTGACGATGCGACAGAACGAGATTGGGAGACCTCAAGATGGTCTCATCGATGATACGCGTTCCTAAGCTTGGGGTTCCGGCATTTCCAGGGTAGGGTGACTCAAGGCTAGACTACTGTAATGCACTATACGCGGGTCTGCCCTTGAAGTCAGCCTGGAAATCCCAGGTAATGCAGAATGCTACAGCTCGATTCCTATTGGAAGCTTAGGCCCATTAGGTTGCTTATAACCCGTTCTCCAGACCCTTCGCCGATTAACTGTCAGCACTGAACTTCCAACTTTTTTTACGTTTCCTTTGGAAAGCACGCTGACCTCTGCTTGGTCACACAAAGGGGAAAAGGAGAGGCTGTGAGCCACAAGGCTGCCCCTGGAATCCTTCGGGTCGCCAGCCTCCAGGAGATTATACAAACATGAGATCACAGGACAGGTTGTAAGCAGTGCTCCCTCTAAGCTGAGTCAGTGTGAGCCAGCTCACAGTTTTTTAGCCTCCGGCTCACACATTTTTATCTTAGCTTGGGAAGGGATGGCTCCAAAGCAAACTGATCTATGCAGTCGCCAAATCGCTGGCTCACAGCTTTAATGCCAGTAGCTCACAAAGTAGCATCTTTGCTTTTTGCTCACGAGACTCCACCGCTTAGCGGGAGCACCGGAAGTCAGCAAAAAGCAACCTTGAAACTATTATGCAATCTATTCAATAATGATTATCAAGCATTTTACATTATGGTACAAATGACAACACTTATTCCAATACAAAATATACAAATACTGAGAGTGTCCTTGCAAACCAAACTGCCCGTGCTCAAAGTTCCTCTGTATAACGCAGCTCAAAGTGGCTCGACACAGTCCTCCTTTGACGGAGGTGTAAATTATTCCAAATATATCTCATCAGCTGCCGTGGCAATCCATTGAACAGGCTGCATAATAATATCATGGTTGTTTTTTTGTGGGTTTTGTTTTGGCCCCCCGAAGGGGAATTTTTTATCTGCATTTCTATAAAACTACAACAGAAATTGGGGAGGGAGAGTCTACAATCTAGAGGAGAAAGTAAAAAGGACCTAACTAAAAACCCAAGAATGGAGGTTTCACAATGCTTAAAACATAGCTGTTACTCTTATACAGTTACTTTCAGACATGAAGCGTGCCCGCCAATCATCGCTTCTGATGACAAAACCAGCTTATCTGACTGAACAGAGAGTAATCCCAAAGCTATAACACACAGAATCACAGCCCTTAAGAAAAAATTAGCATCTCCACGCTTTACTCACCCCTTCTGGGCAGAGAGTAGCCCCCCTGTACCGGCTGCCAGCCAGAGGTAGGGTTCTCTCCAAAGCCCCCCTGGCTAGAAGCCCCTTGTCTATGGGCTCCATGGGGGAGCGTGCACAATCACGCTCCCTCCTAATCCCCGATTCACGGCACACGTCTCTCGGAGGAACCAAGAGACGCCGCCATCGTTTAACGCGCCAAAACCGGAAACCCCACGGTTGTTTTTTTGTTAACTTACAACCCCCGGGAGGTGGCTGGAGATCCCCCGGTATCACGACTGATCTCCGGACGACCAAGACCAGTTCCCTTGGAGGAAACGGCTGCTTTGGAAAGTGGACTCTGTGGCCTTAGACCCTCCCCAAGTCCCTCCCCTCCCCAAACCCCTCCCTCCTCAGGCTCCACCCACAACACATCCAGGCATTTCCAAACCCGGAGCTGGCAACCCTGAGCACCCTACGGCCTCCCTTTCCCCCTCCCCGTCAGTCATGGCTTCTTCTTGCACTCTGAACCTACTGGGTTGGTGGGATGCTGCGCACAGCTGTCTTTTTCATAGAATCATAGAATGTGAGAGTTGGAAGGGACCTTGCAGGTCATCTAGTCCAACCCCCGGCACTCTGCAGGAGCACAGCCGGAAGAGAGCCCTGCAACCGATGTTCCCTCTAAGCTGTGGAGTCTTGTGAGCAGAAATTCTACTTTGTGAGCTACTGGCATTAAAGTTGTGAGCGAGTGATTTGGCTGCTGCATTAATTAGTTTGCTCTGGAGCCCTCCTCCCTGAGCTGAGACAAAAATGTGTGAACCGGAGGCTAAAAACTGTGAGCTGGCTCACACTCACTCAGCTTAGAGGGAACGCTGCCTGCAACATACCCGAAAGAGGGTCATCCAACCTCCGCTTGGAAACGTCCAGCGAAGGAGCATCCACCACCTCCCGAGGCAGACTGTTCCACTGCTCAACCACTCTTACAGTTAGGAACTTTCTCCTGATATTTAGCCGGTAACGACTCCCTTGTAATTTCCACCCATTAGATCTAGTCTTGCAATCCGGAGCCAAGAGAGAAGAGATCTGCTCCATCTTCTACATGACAGCCCTTCAAATACTTGAAGACTGCAATCATGTCCCATCTAAGCCTTCTCTTTCCCAGGCTAAACAGACCCAACTCTTTCAGTCTTTCCTCATAAGACCTAGATTCCAACCCTCTCACCATCCTGGTTGCCCTCTTCTGGACACGCTCGAGCTAACCCATGAATCATAGAATGTTAGAGTTGGAAGGGACCTTGCAGGTCATCTAGTCCAACCCCCTGCACTCTGCAGGAGCACAGCCAAAAGATAGCCCTACATACCTACAACATACCCGGAGCAAGAGAGAATAGATCTGCTCCATCTTCTACATGACAGCCCTTCAAATACTTGAAGACTGCAATCATGTCCCCTCTAAGCCTTCTCTATCCCAGGCTAAACATACCCAACTCTTTCAAGGGAGAATAGATCTGCTCCACCTTCTACATGACAGCCCTTCAAATACTTGAAGACTGCAATCCTGTCCCCTCTAAGCCTTCTCTTTCCCAGGCTAAACAGACCCAACTCTTTCAGCTTTGATGCCGGTGGCTCACGAAGGAGAATTTCTGCTCACAAGACTCCACAGCTTAGAGGGAGCATAAGTATTACGACTCGCCGTCTGTCTTTTCAAATATAATTTAATATGATCTACTGTTTTACCTGGTTTGCCGGAGAGCCAGTCTGGTGTAGTGGTTAAGTGCGCGGACTCTAATCTGGGAGAACCGGGTTCGATTCCCCACTCCTCCACTGGCACCCGGCTGGATGACCTTGGGCAAGCCGTAGCTCTGATAAGAGCTGTTCTTGAAAAAAGAACAGTTTCTGCCAGAGCTCTTTCAGCCCCACCTACCTCACAGGGTGTCTGTGGTGGGGAGAGGAAGGGAAAAGCCGCTCTGAGACACCTTTGGGTAGTGAAGGGTGGGATATAAATCCAATCTCTTCTCTTCTTCTGTAGACAATCAACATGGACTGATACGATTCTGGGAACCTACAGGGCTCTACGGGACATAGCCTGAAAGCCAGCCGTCTGTCTTTTCAAATGTAATTTAATATGACCTTGCAGGTCATCTAGTCCAACCCCCTGCACTCTGCAGGAGCACAGCCGAAAGACAGCCCTACATACCTACAACATACCCGGAGCAAGGGAGAATAGATCTGCTCCACCTTCTACATGACAGCCCTTCAAATACTTGAAGACTGCAATCATGTCCCATCTAAGCCTTCTCTTTCCCAGGCTAAACAGACCCAACTCTTTCAG